TCGAAGGCGAGGGCGAAGTAGTGTGTTTGTTGTTGCACTAACTGTGGGTGTAGTGTTATCCGGCGGGTGGGTCCGGCGGTCCCCGGCGGTGGGTCCATCGTTTCTAAGTCCTCTTCGTCGCTCGGGTCGATGAGGACGTTTCGCGGGCGACGCTTGTTGACGTTCGCGATTGTGTCGGGTTGGTAATTTGCTGAGCTTACCACCAGAGGGTTGGGATGATGTTCGGCTCTTTGTCCGTTTTGTCAGGTCCATTTGGTCAGGTCTTTAAAATATTCGCGAATCGTCTGGAGTCTGCAATCGCTGTGCAGGTCGACGTTGCGTTGATAACACTGCGCACCGGTTGCGCGGGTTATGAACTTATTTTGTACTATTTGCAACTTGTACAAGCGAGTAGGGTGCGTGTGGGCGACATAATGCATGCGTGGGACATTATAGACCGTACGCAGGTCTTATGTAATAATAATTTGTGCCTTAAGGGCATTTTACTTTTAGCGTTAGTTAAATTGTGTGGCCGGCCGGAGAAGAACGCGGCTCTATTGCGAACGTTATTAATGTGCGTATTAAATGACATACGCGAGTTGAAAGTGACTTCTAAATATTTGACCTTTTTCTCCCAGGAGAACGGTTGGCCACAAAGGGATATTTGCCCCAAGTAGCTTCTAAATCAATCATCATGTATATCACTGACCTCTAGGTCAGTTCAATAGCTATTCGTAGACAAATAATTTCTGTGACAGAACATGAGCATGGATATAAGCATTATTAAATCCTTAATGATGAAGAATAATCGAACAAGATGGTTGAACTTCCAGCTTTGGATGTAGAAATCCACGTCTGAGTGAGAGTGAGGTAATAATTAATTTTTGGATGAGATGATAGGACCAAAAATACCACTTATATCAAATTGTTTCTGCAGACCTATTATAATAATTAACATAATAATAAAAATATTTAAAACAACTGAATTCTTCGATTCGCCATGTTATTAATTAAAAATGCGAATAACTTCGTTCAGATCAACTGATTTTGTCCTTTTTTTTCCAAAGGCCAGTAATACAATACCAGCCATTCTCTCGTGACCCATTGACAGCCTTTGAGGCCTATTGATTGCAGTTAAAGTTGAAAACGTAGATTCGCACACTGCAGTGCTACATCCTATGGTCGCCACAGATGCAAAAAGTTCATAATTATGTATCTTTAAACGCCTCTCGTTGCCTGTACAACACTTGCAATGTATTTTTCATTTTGTCCTCGTTACGACTCAAGTAAACTTTAACCACACTAGCCTACTTGAATTATTAAATTTTTTAAACTTACCCAAAGTTTTCAGTGGAACCATTTTATCTACATCCAACTCATCGAGACTTGCAATCGAATTGATTAGATCATCATCCTTTCTACATATTTTAATAGATCATCATCATTCAAATGCCTATTTTATTATTATTTTATCCTTTACTATATATATATATATATATATACGAGCAATTCTTGTATATATATATATAATCGGAATCTCGGAAACGGCTCCAGCGATTTTCATGAAATTTAGTATGTGCGTAGATTCGGGGGCGAAGCATCGATCTAGCTGTTTCATTTTTAGAAAATGTCCTTTTATCTCTGTTTTCAGGGAATGAAAAATATCATTCGAATATGACGGTAAATTTTGCCGCAAAAAAATTTTTATAATAGCTCGGTCGGTAATCGGGCGGCCCCAAAACAGACGGCCGCGGTTCGTATCACGATCACACACTTATTTTTTTTACTGTTTTTTCTATACCTGATCATTGCTTTCTTCATTTTTTTTTATTTCCAAAATACATTATTTATCAAAAAAAAAAACGAGCAAAGCTCGGTCTTCCAGGTACTTTTTTATACGAGTACACAGAACAAAGAATTATTAGAATATGAAATGAATGTCACACACTGGTAATGAGTTGATCGCACCCAAGCTATTTCTAAAAGAAAGAAAAAAAAAACAGTTGTATGTAATGTAATATATTAATTTTTTAAGAAAAAAATTACGAATAAGAGGATACCTGCGGAGTTTCTTTTGCCTGTTTCTTCTCCGTTAGAGGAACCTCATGATGAAATGGTGGTAGATTAAAAAAAAATACTATCGATGGATGAAATGTATGTTTCCTAAGTCCATAAATAAATTATTTTGATTTTGACAAACTGAGGTATGTTCGGAAAAGTTGAAATACCTATCGCTACACAGGGTACACAAAATTAAAAATAGACAAAGAAATTAATGGAATTCATAATTTGGCGGCCGTATCACTTCATAGCGATCTCTTCCAGGCAACCAATGGCGTAAAGGAACTTTACTACGTAGGTTGTGCAATAGTATAGTATATCATGCAGTAGTAGAGTTTAACAGCCTGTACGGTAAAAGATTTTTGAAAAATTACGTTTTGTGGTTTGGCACCTTTAAAATGAGCTTCCTCGAAGAAGGTAGGATCTTCCCCTAGAAGCCCTACAAATTCAAATTTCTCCTTTAAATAAAGTGGAGTAGAAACATGAAATAGAACACAGTAGGTACAACATAGAAAGAATATACAAATTCCGAAGAAGTAGGATGGGAAACCACTTGAGACGTGTACGAAATTGAAAAACGTGGTCATATTTACGCATTTTTATTTTGGTATTTTTAAGGTAGGGCATTGTGATTTTAAGGTAGGGCATTGCCATACAATGCCCCCCCCCCCCCTAGCTACGGCCGTGAAACAGGAAGATTGTCTAAAATTCTTGATTGCTTTCTCATACTTTATATTTGTTTGTTTATTATTATTCCTATTATAATGTAAAAGTAAAATACAATCATGGTCTATAAAAGATATTATAGGGATCATCTGTGTGCATTTTCGAAAACCTTCCATGATACTGTCGATAGTATCCTACGGCCCATCACTACACACATACTATGCAATGAATGACTTGGTCTAGCGGCGCGTCGACGAACTCGCGCGCTGCGCGGAGGGGTAACGTTTACCCCTCCTCCGCTTCCTCATACTTCACCACCCAAATAGTTAAAAATTCACTGCATACAGCGCCTTAACAATAACATCACAGTGTAAGCGATTCAAAAGCAGCCCTAGGCAAGGGCACAAGGTTATCGTGTACAGGCTGCCTTGACCTCACGTACGGGCACGGAGCGTCAATTTACTTGGTTTCGGTATATTATACTATGATAAATTTATGTAAAAATTTCATTTAGCAATGCAGTACTTTGCATTCTTTTTTTTTAAAGTAAAAACAATACAATCTTCCTCTAAGAAAGATCTGGATAACAATATAAAATAAAAACCTTGATACTTCTTTAAATGATGTTTTACCCGCTATTGACAATTTGCTCAACAGATAAATTATACAGTGTGTTAGTTTAAATGTCTGAAAAGTCTCGTGTAAAACGAACAAAATAAAAGATACCTTAGTCACAAAAAATATTTATTTCTTTAATTTTAACGATTTTAAGAGATCAAAATAATAGACAAGGCAATATAAATGTCAAACTAAACTAATTACAATGATTACTGAAGCAAATCGATTCAAAGCGAATGTTTTCCACTCAGGGTCATCATCTAAATGGGTCACATAAATATATTTATCTTGCGGTCAAGTTAAAAAAAATTAATGTAATTTTAAACTTTAAAACAAAGGATTTGAAACATTATAAATTCTTTTTCTTCAAAGCAATTATTAAACAAACATTCAGATGCATCAGAAAAAGTCAAGTCTTGCATAACTCCTTATATAGAAAGAAAATAAAATACTTTAAAATACAAACTAAGTATTTGTCAACCAACATAAACTATCTAGTTTTTTAAGAATTAGTTTTGATACAAGGTATGATAATTATAAATGTTCATAACAATAAATTTGTTACATGCAAAGATTTTAAAAACATGTATGAACAAAAACTTTGCTTCATAATTTTCTGCTTTGTTGGAAATAAAATCTTAAAGGAAGAAGTCTTACAAAAATAGACACATTAGTTACTAATAATTATTACAATATTTTATGTAATAAATGTCTACCAATTTTTCTTTAACACCAATGTTCTAAGAATAAGCACTATACAAAAATACATTTAATAATCTAAGGCTAAGACATTACCAAAGTAATCTTCATTTCATTATACATATTATATGTTTTCCCCTCGGTGGGCATCTTCTTAGTCTTTTTGAATCAGTCAAACATAATAGTATAAATTGAAAGCAATATTTATGCAAAATTAATGTGAAAACATGGTCCCATATAGATGTTACATTATGAATAATGAATTTAAAAATAAAATATACTTAAAAAAATATGGTCTATACAATACTTAGGGCAGTTGTGTTATTCTTAAAAATTAATCACAAATGATAACTCTGATAGTCTTAGGTATATACCATATACCCTGGCCATAGAGTTCTGTGTGATTTTTGAAAATAAAATCTTCGACCAAAAGTATCTGAGTGGTGCATCTCACAGGGATTGGAAGTTGGCATTCCAAAGTGCAACCACTGTGTTAATCAAAAAATCTGCATATTACATAATTATCTATCAACTATCATGAAAAATAAAATAGAATATGACAAATAAAAAATAAAGGTGGGGTTCTAATACTTATAGCTTATGTTGTTATCTATCAGAAAATTTCAACTTCTTTTAAATGTCTTAGTCCAAAATTGTCGAGATACATTCATTTTATGTCAATTTCATGTACAAGTCTATCGTAAAAGATTATTTTTAAAATGCATTGAAAACTTTTTCATTATTACTTCATTTGACCGTAATTTCTGTGAATTAGAATTGAATAGTGGTAAAGATTTTCTATTAAGCATATTGATAAACTTAGTTGTAAAATTAGTCAAAGGAAACTAAGATAGTCAGATAAACAAAAAAAAGTGACAAGTTTCCTAATCATATGACTGTATAGAAATTAAAGTTAATATATTGGAGTAACAAAGCACAATGTGAATTTCCATCTCCATTTTAAATATTTGAATTCATTGATTATAGTCTTTTCTATAACAGTTAGAATCTATATCTTCCTGCATATCTAAATCAGTTTTATTCAGTTGGATTACAGTTTCTCCTTCATCCATAGTTTCTTCTTCACCATTTGAAAATTCACTATTATCATCTCTGCTGGCAAAATGATCTATATTCATGTTTCCTTTAGATACTATAGCCTTTTGTGTCATTGACAAATTTCTAAAATAGTTTTTCATTTTGGATGCAAGATCCGTCATTATCTGATCTTCTATGTTTTTTACTTTTTTGTTATCTAAGTTTTGCATTTCCACACCTTTGTGCAATGTTTGTGCCATTGTTGATTTTAGTAAGTTAGCTAAGATGGGATTAGCTCTTAGTGTTTCTTCTGGAGAATTCTCAGCAAGGTGGTTGTTGCTAGCATCACTGTTAAAATTTTCTTTTTCTGGAAATGTATCCCTTAAGACATCCCCATTTGCATTTTTTGGTTTGTGAATTCGTTTGTGTAAAAGATACACATCTGGATCTTTAAAACATTTTGAGCATTCATCACATTTATATGTGTGCTTGGTGCTATAATCTTGAGCCTTTGCTTTTTTACTAATTTCAGATGGAAACATACTCAAATTTTCATTATTATTCAAGTTTTGTGTTGAATCTGAATTCAATTCATAATTTATGTTATTTCTAAACAATAAATGCTCAATCTGTGTCATGGTATCATTGAAGTGACTGGAGCCATTGCTCGATCTGGATGTGGAATCATCCCCATTGAGTGAAGTATCTGTTTCTGTAAATATTCATAAATGAATGAGGTAAGGATCACAAGACATAATATATTACCAATGTTTTTAAATGTTTGTCACTTGCACCATCAAATGTATCAGTGATATATATACCCATTAAAATTTGTGGATAAAAAGGACGTAAAGTTTATCGTTGCAGTGGGAATTGATCCCACGTCTTTCGGATTCGCGGCCAAACGCTTCCCACAGCGGCGAATAACTTTTGGCCCCTTTTCTACAAATTTTAGTGATTCATCTAAGTGCAGAGATTAGTACTATAAAAAATTTAATTTCAGATGTACCCATTGTCTATTACTAGGTGACATGATCGTAAATTATATCAACTCATTTAATATATTATTAAATAAACAATGGGTAGTTTAAAAGTAAAAGATTTAACTTTTAGAAATATTATTTAATTATATTAACTGCTTACCACTGCAGATGGAGGTCATACTAAGATTTGAAGCACCAGATGCGTGTATGGCTAAAACTGTCCTATTGTAAATGCATTGTGCTACTTGATGTAACTGCAAAGAGAAATTTAGACATGAACCCATAATAATTAGGATTGATCCAGTGAGAACATTAAGTCACACCTGGCTAACATTTCATAAGCCTTTGTAATAACAAAAACAACACTAAATTGGATATAAACTGAGGAAAACTATGACATACAAGCAATTTTAATTCTTTTTTAACACCTATACATAGAATGCTAAAAATCTACTTATATTTAAGTTACAGAAAAGATTCAATACACTTGCGAGTTAATACAACTACATTTAAAATTTGTAAAGTACATAAGAGATTTAAATTCAAATCTTTACCTTCATAAAAATTTAAGGATTCTATTTTATTTTACAAAACTATTAGCATAACTATTTAGCGAGGAAATCCAGCTAAAGTTCTTGGCACCATGCCACATGGATTAGATTTAGTGGATAATATGTAATTTTAGATAGATTTAATCTTGTTTATTATGTTTAATGTCTTTACTTTTGTAAATAAATTTTATTGAAGGTTTTACAAAAAGCCCAAAGTAAGAAAAAGATGTACTATGTAACTACATTTATAAAATCACACATACTACTTTTTCTTGTATACTGCAATAAACATATACTGCAATAGCTGTTATCAATTGTATAGCTATAAACTACTTTTAAATTTATGGAGGAAGCTGACATATAAGCAAGTGTTTCCAAAATAAATTTCAAAAGTAAAGTGGTGATCACTTCAGACATATGATTAATATTATATACAATTTGAAACTGATGAATTTGAACACCGTAAATGGTAAAATATGATTACACATTGCTAAATTTATGAACAACTTTTTGTGCCATATTTAAGAAATAAACTTGTTATATTCTATTCAAGGACATCTATAACACCTCAGCGGTTGTATTATAACATTGCCAACCTAAAAATAAAGATGTTTTTGCCTCGGTTTCTAAACTCACTAGGTGAAATGAAAAAATACAAATGTATTATTCAGACCATATTATATTATATTAGTCTACTTGAAAGGCCATGGTACTTTTCCAGTCAAGCCTGACTATTTATGCAAATCCATCTAGTAATACCAAATAACTCACAATCTATATATATAAAATGAATTGCCGTTCGTTAGTCTTGCTAAAACTCAAGAACAATTTTTTTTTCCCATACAAACTGTTCCTTACCTGTCAAAAATTTTATATGTGCGTTCTGAAAATTCTTTTTCAGATTCACAAATTCCCTAGAAATAATTTATATGGCAAAACAATTTTTGCCGGGTTGGCTAGTATTCAATAATATTATTATAACTGTGCATTTTTAATTTCAATTTATCAATAATTACCTGAGAATCTGTCATGTCTGAAGAAATGGATTTCATTACCCATCTTCCACTACTTTTATTCTTTTCATACAATATAGGCAAGTCAGAAGGCAGATTCTGAGACGGCACTGCATCCTTACGAAGAGTTCTTGATTGCCCTAAAATTTAAATATATAATTATTGTTGAGTAAAATCTTGGCTCAGTTTTCCTGAAATCTGTAGTTTTGCAAGTAGAAATTTTTTTCTACAGAATGATTACATTATTATAAGAACACAAACAAATAATTTTTTTTCTCGAAAACCATAAGCGGACTATTCTGCTTGTTTATTATTTCATTAGTGATTTTTCTTTACCGAATAATTTTTGTTTAGGTTGAAATAAACTCAGCGCTAATGGAAAATTATAGTAAAAATTCCTCAGAATTAAATATTAAAAAACGCGAAAATCGGGGGGCTCCGCAACTTTTCAATCCGCAATTTGTCTTTTTAATATCTCTCCTCCCCGGCACCCTTCCTGCCCCTCAATTGGACGGACATTCCATTGGATTTACAATCGTACCAAAATATTTGTTGCTTTGGTTTTCACACTAGTTATATTGGTAATCATCATCCTAATTCAAATATAAGATGCGAACAATATATGTCATTAATAAAGTGATAATTACAAATTCATAAATGTAATAATGATAGTAAGAGAAAATATAATTTTGACCTACAAAATTTTATTATGTATTACATATTATATCCCTAATAACCAAACAAAAAGTTGAATACATACGAAAGATAAAAATCAAACGTGTCAACACTTTTGTTTACCTTTGTTTCGCCCTAGAGCTGTTATGGTATAGTCTTCAGGTTTAAAATGTAAACTGCAAACTTTGGAATACTTAGTATAAGGTTTTCCTCGTTTCAGTATTTCATTCCATAATTTTGCTAGTTCTTCGTCTCTAGGAAATTGATGAAAAGATACATTCTGAACTTTACCGGCCATCGATGTACAACGAGGTACAGTGCAGTAATAGGGCATTTTGTGTTAAAGCAACGGACAAAACTAGATTAATTAACATAACTATGTCACTGTTACATTACTAATTTCTTTTTAAATCACTTATAAATTGTCGAAATGTTTTACACAAAGAAAAAGTGCAAGAAGTGCATTGGCCATTGAGTTTGAGCACCACAGACAGAGCAAAGACGCAATGAGTACTTTTATGCACAGAGCTTAAATAAGACATATACACTGAAACAGAGCATTCCACCATAGATGATAACTTATATATTGAGAATGAGATTCCACAGTGAGAGCTAGAGCATTCCATTCTTAGTTTTGTGTATAATCTTCATATTTATATAATGTCTAAATTTTGATCAGAACGGTTTGGAAAAGACCTTACACTTACTAACGTTTATAAGTATTAAGATCTTTGCGCTTTGGTGACATTAATTTTACGTATCTGTTTATTGTCGTCAGTCCATCGCGCACAAAATTTTATTTAACTACTCAATCTACATTTTTACTTCAACTAGAATCTGTAATCTGTGCATTGAATTGTAATATTGTATCTGTTATGCTTAGTTTATGGCAAAAAGTAGCCATTTTTCCGAAAAAGTGGGGAAGGGAAAAAAAGGTGAATACATGTCAAGTATTTCAAGGCTGAGGTGTGATGATTTTAATTTTTACAAAAGAGTTAACGAACGCTGTAATTATTAAGTTTTGACGACACGGCGAAAGGCAAAAATTACAATCCATTAATGTAAGGAAGTTTTCACGCAGGCGGGAGTTAGCACCGCTGCAAAAATTTGACTTTCAACAACAAAGGTTGTAGCGAATTCGAGATGGGTTACTATTGTACAGTACCACAATGCACATCACTCGCCGGCAAAACTAAGAATGTTAAATTTCACCGATTCCCGCGAGATAATACAATGGCCGACAAATGGAACCTTATACTTAAACGCGGCAAACCATACACAAAATATTCTAAAGTGTGTAGTCTACATTTTACGCAAGCCGACTACAACGTCACTGCAATGGGTAAGAATAAAGGTATTTGGGTTTTTCCATGTCTGGTTAATGTATTGTAGTGTTTATCATAACATTTCAAATGAGTCATCTCCTATGATCGCGTATTTTCTTGGAAAAATAACCTGCAACTATTCCCCGGATGTGGTAGGTGACAAGTTATTAGATAATGTTTATATTGTTGTCAATTTATTTATAGTTTGTTGTGATTTTTCGCAACATATTTATTGCCTATTTGATTCTAATTTTTCTATCCATTATAAATCTGTCTGCATTTATGTGGTGTTTACAAACATTACTTAAGTAGTTAATCGTAGTAATCATGAATAGTTTTCATTAGAAATAGAGGCTATTTCATATTTCTTTTTTGAGGACTTCAATTTTCTTCATTGAAACCAATGCAAGTGAGGTGCTTTTTTATATTTTATTACAAAAATATTATACAAATACTAATATGTAAACTTTGTTTGTCTTAAATACTTCTAGTAGTAGTAGCATATATTTAGCAATCTTAAGAATTATTTGAATAAGACCTATTAAATCCCTAACATATTTGTTACTTACTTGGCCTAAAAATAATGTGATTTTGGACTAAAAATGTTTGTGTAAATACAATAAGAAATCAATATCGCACCTTTAGAATGTAAGGGACCTAATTAAGAAAATCATGATTTTGACTTTGTCAGGAAACAGCCTAAAACAACTACCTTTTATTACTTTTATTAAAATGAGAGCCGATTTTAGAAACATATACTTCCGTCTCTCACTCCCCTTCAATCACTGCATTTGTTCATAAGTGCACAAATCTTTAAGTTTCCCAAAAATACGTCACTATAATTCTAAAGGTGAAATATATTATTAAAGCTATCCAACTATCTATTATTTTGTTATTTAAAGTAAAAAATGTTTAATAGTACATGTTGGTTTTTATGAAAAAGGAAATGACATTTTCTTTAAAATTGTAGTGTCATTAATAATATATGTTTATCTACTGTTTTATGACTTGTCAAAAGAATATCTTGATAATGAATGAAAATTGCTTTATCGTAATTTTATCAAGATAACTACATCATTACTCCCAGCAATTGGTCTAATACAAACCATTCAATGCAGATGTGCCAAAATTTTTTACTCCATTCTAATGTTATTGATTAATATAACCAAAGTGGACACAAAAACGAAGCTAATTGAACAATTTGTATCACAAATTGATAATTACACAGAAAAGAAAAGTTGTCATATCACTAAAATTTATCCCGTTCAAGTTTGAAACATCCTTTGATATTCACATTTATATTCAGAAGTTTTTCCTTTTATCCATGGCTCCACCTGACTGATTCCAATATAAAAATTTCATTATTTCCTCTATAAAATTAAACTGTATAATTATTCAAACTAAGCTATATACTACATTTTTATAAGGTTGAATCCGTTCTGCTGTTGTATTGTATTAAAGAAAGCAAGCACGCGCTCATTCGCATACAATATAATTTCTTTTTTGTAACAGTTATTTTTGAATGACGTAAATGTAACAATTAGACAATGATCACCGTTGATCTAATAATACTTTGCCTAGAACCTGAACCCGGAAATAGCGCATACTGGTAATAAAATCATCATCATCATCCATCAATATATAAGTAACCTTACGTACTTTCGTTACGTTAATCTGCTTCTAATCTCGTAATGGTCTACGTAAACTGCTGTTTGGAGCTATAACGGACGGTTGGGAAAAAATTTAGTTCTTTTGGTATTAATGTTTGCGTCTGGCTGGTTTCAGTACAATTAAATTAAAAAAAAGAAAAACAATTTCCCGCCATTTTTCAATTGTTTTTCTATTCACCAAATTGAGTGAATCTATCAAAGAAATTAGATTCATTTTTATTACGAAAAAAGAAAAAATGAAGCCTCGAAAAAAAAATGTGACGTTTATGGACTTAAACAAAAAAAACTCTCTTACGGATAAAGTAAATGCCATTTCTGAAAAAGTGGAGCAAGATCGGCATATTAGTAGTTACGACTTTATATGAAGAGGTGGGGATTGACCACAAAACAGACCCTTTTGAAAAAGGCTGATTATACTAAAATACCTCAATATTTTGGTGCCACATAAGTTCACTGAAAGAAACCTACCAATTTGCCATTATTTGTTTAAACGTCATGAAACCGATCTATTTTTGAAGATTTGGATCGCTGGTGTTGCAAGTTACTCCTTATACAGCGTGTCGTTACAACCGCGACAATAAATGAACATGTCTAACGCTCCTTGCCAATAATAATAAAAAATATAAAACGTTAAAAAAATCCATAATTAAAAAAATATAGTTTTCAAACAAACTAATTAAATAAAAAAAGAAACAAAATTTGTAACATCCTATACAACTACAACTGACTGATTCATACATTCAGAGACGTTTTCATTTGTTGTTACAACGTCGCATTACAAGTCTCCTTCTAACAGTATGTTTTATCTCTTTTAAATTCATTCAACCCATTCATATGCTTTGTGACCTTTACAAATGAACTTTACGTTACAGTCTTATACGTAAGGGTGTTCTAAAAATGTTTGTTAAAATTTAATAACTCGTTAAATATTGATGTTTAAAAAATGTAAATGCTTAATACAATTTTTAAAAGTTATCCTCTATATGTGTGTTCATTTATTGTCGCGTTTGTAACGACACGCTGTATATATATATTATAAGATTTTTGCAGTCGGCGTATGAGAGAACAATAAGATTAATGGATTATTCATTTAATTTAATGTAAGGGTTTGAATTTGGATCAATACGTGACAGCTAATAGCGTGTAATTGCACATGACTAACCTGTGTGGACTAAAGTAGGTCCAATTTAAGTTTCAAATGTGATACGCGATGTGCCACTTCGCCCACAGTGGATACGATTTTTAGGTTTGTGTTTCTCTACGCAAGAAACTCAAAGAATTTTGAATGTTATCGATATATTTACTGAGAATCGGACCAGCGCTCTACGATCGTCTTTTTGACATCGTATGCATATTGTATCTTGCATGAGTCACAGCGTGGACTTCAGCACTGACTATTTTGCCCGACTCAAATAAGGACGTAAGGATAAAGAACAAAAATACTGTTGTTGCAACTTCGTGGAAAACTTAACAAGATCATAACTAAAACGTGATTTGAAAAGAAATTATCGTAGAATAGAGTCGAAGGAAGAAGAGAAAGATTTGTTCAAGTTTGTGAAAAAGTACCATTGCAATTTATATATTTTTTGGTTTCTCACGCGTTTTCGTGCACTTTTTTCGACGATATACCCACTAGCCGATAGTCGGTGATAAGCCGGGACACCTTGTCTATGTGGCAGTAAGAAAATCTCTGAATATACATTTACATCGAATCTTATAGAAATTTTATCTTTTAATGTTGTAACTAAGTAATACATACGTATTATAAAACCATCGAATGTCTTTTACAGTTCAGAAATTCGATGACAACTAAACGCTCGGAAAAATCGCCTTTAGGTTTTGTATGGATTGATCTTCTCAACAGAGACTACTTTCCGAACCGGTGGTAACTTACGAACGTATTAATTTCTGCGTAAAATCGTTTCATAAGAACGCGCAAGCGTGTATGTGAATAAAAATATTTTGAATTCTTTAATTTTGAAGGGTCTACGCCTCCATTCTTAGGAACTAAGGGACCCTTGGATACAGAAACCGTAGAAAGACTACTTCCAACGGGTAGTGTCACTTCTCGCGGGGGACTCTGTCCAAGCCGGTTAATCATCAAAGTTCATTAACATATATATTTAAGGGACATCAAAGTTTATAAACATACATCGAAAGGTTAACTGTGGGTTAACTGTTCACATTTTATATATTGTTATTACGCTTTCAGTTCATCAAACGTAATCCGAAATATACACCTTCTCGGCTATTAATTTACGTGTACAAAAACAATGTGAATCGGTTCCATTTTCTACCGTTGTCCTTATCTTATTTTTCTAAAAAAATCATCTCGTCAAGGCTCGTCGAGATGCAGCGAATTTGCGGCCGAAAAAGAATCGTACCGATAAATCGTAAGAATCGTTCAATATAAATCAAACGCGAAATGATAAGCTCTTATTGCAAAGACGCTTTTATAAAGTTACCCATGAAAGTATGGGACTAGCGGCATATGTGTTCTGGGTTTCAGTTTGCGGGTACTGTGATTCACCGAGTTTTTCCGATTTTCGAAATATTCACAAATAGTATTTGCAAAAATCAACGTCTCATATCATGTAATCATTAGCTGTATACGGAAGCGGGCTGCCTGCTCGCCACGTTTATGATTAAAGCGTCGTGACGTGGCATATATTTATTTTAAATTATCAACATTACGTACGGTGTATTTGTCGATTAAGCTTAGTAAAAATGTTGGTACCGACATTGCTAATTAGAATTTTAAATGGTGATTTAAAATAGGCACGGTGAGGTGAACACATCGTGCGGGAGCGGGTACATCGATAGATATATCGATAGACTTCAAACATCTCACCCACTGTACATTTTCTATTGAATTTTGACGAGGTCCCTGATGTATCCGGAGTTCAAGGTCCCCACAAGGTCCACATATTGAAAACCTTTTTTAACATTATAATTATTAAGTCTGCCAAAAAGACCACGCGTGGACTCTGACCTAATAAGAATTTCAAAGTGTACTGCACAGAGGAAGCCTCTAGGCTCTATCCTTCGTCTAACCTCTACAAAATAAAGTACGATTAAGCAACGGCCTATACATGTCCCACTGCTGGCCAAAGGCGTCCCTACCGAGGGTATCTTGAAATCAGGAAATAGTTATACTACGTGTACCATCAAACGTACATGTTACTTCATTGTTTTTCACCATTTTAAACTTGCAACCAGCCCGGGCTTAGCCCCGGTTCAACACAGTTCAAGTTAATTCAGTCAATGCAGTAACTAGTTAATTTTCTTTTCATGTGTCTAATACACTTTTCAACATAATAAAAAAATGCATCCGTAACATATTTCGTTGTTATGTCGTGTAAGAACTCAGTCTGTCCTGTGACCATGAAAGGGTACTAAACGTCGGAAATTAAAAATCAAAATGAAAACGTGATAAAACGTTAAAGTTTCCGGAGACTCCACATTCGAGGAAACACAAAATCCGCACTATTGCTTTGAAATATCAGAATAGACTATATATAATTCACTCAATGATCATTCCAACGAACCCCATGAGATTAATTTGAGAAATGATGAGATTGCATCAAATTACCACATACGTCACATTATCGTTCGTACTTCTCGGTAATTGTCTAAATTTGTGAGTGGCAGATTGTGAAGCTCACAGATATTTGCTACTTGCCTTAAGCGTTTTCTACCGTTTGTATTTCTAAGATATGTGACGATGATCTTAGCAGCTCTTTATCTATCTCTTTCCCCCAACGTTCCACTGAAAACCAGCATTCACGAAGATTGTCAACTTCGTGCTATGAAGCTGAGTGGTGACCATTTTGGTTCATTCTAATCATAGGTATTTAGTTTTTAGCATATGTTTTATTTTTTTGTGTTATTATGTACCAAATAAATGTTTCTTTCTTTCTTTCTTTCTTTCTTTAGAAAAAGGCCTTTCCTTTGCCACGGGACCGTTAATCCGTTGGTTGTTTTATATTGGAAATTGTTATTTCCAGGTCAGTGGAAGACGCTGAGCAAAGACGCCGTTCCATCGCAGAACCTTCCCAAGCTGAATCCTGACGGCACGGTGATGGTGATCCGCAAGAGTCGCACCGTCAAATACAAGGAGGGGAGGAAAGAGGACAGCATGAGGTAACCGAAGTTTTTTTTTATAATTATATTTTTGTATAACTTATTTACACGCCAGAGTGATCGTTTGCATAGAAAATCTTCAAGAAGATTACTTCACTCGCCGGAAATCTAAACGTGTAAATACTTTAATAGATCATCCTCTGCGAGGTTGTGGTACTTCCCCGGAAAAGGAGCGCTATAAATGCTTTATTTTTTTTTGTGAGAACGTGGCAAGCGCGCGGGGCATCACTTGATGTTAAGCGATAATTGTCTCCCATGGACATTTGCAACACCCGTAGGGTTGCATATGCGTTGCACATTTTAATAAAGTGGGCCCCGACTACCGTACCATACGAAACGCCAAAATACAACAATTCACGCCGATTCTGTGAGGGCATGGTACTCTGAACGGACCTGCCTATAAGTGCAGCAGCGAAGTTTGTTGCGTTGGCCTCCCACGGTAGAAAATGGAATGGCAATAAGACTGGAATGGCAAACAACTATGTCACTCTTGGGGCCGTGGTGATGAGTCCTATTTTGCAAGCCATTATTTATGTTTCCTTATTCCAGTGAGAAAACAGACAAATGGTGCTTAAGTAGTCAGCCAACAATGACGCTCAACAGCACGCCAGAGAGATCTTTGGCGACAAATGAAAGTCCAGACAGCAATGTAAGTCGACAATATTTCATATAAGTACATCTAGTTAGTCGAAACTCGCGCTGGTATTTTTTAAATGTAGCTGGCACTAGTTTAGGTTTGTCCAAGTAATGCCCTAAAATAAGCTAACTGTGATAGGGCCAGGCATGTACGGGCCATAGGGCTACGAATGGGCAGGTCCGTCCGTCTAAGTACCACGAACTTAAAAGCCAGGCGAGAAGTAGAAGCAATACTTCTGCGTTTCGTTTTCGTTTGGTGAGTGAGGCAGCCGGGGCGTACTTAATTAAAACGTGGCAATGCTCCTCCTGAAGCCCTACGGGTGTTTCAAATGTCCATGGGTGGCGGTTATCACTCAACATCAGGTGAACCGCCAGCTCCCTTGCCACCATCTCACATATGAAAAAGTGTAGATTTTTTAAAGGAATGGAATTCTAAACATTTCTGCCCAATTGGTTAATGCTAGTTTCATAGGAGAAACGAGGATGTCTCCACGTTTAGCTATCCGTCATAGTGTATATTATGGATTTTTCGAGGTATTGTAAGTTAATTTATTATTATGTTTATGTAAACACTGTCAGAAATTTTACTAATTGGAACTTTAGAACTCGTGTATAAAATACAACTGAATGCAATCTACCCTTAGTCAATAACAGATACTAATTTTAATTGCTTGATCTACTTTTAGTATCCTAATAATGTATTTTAATTATAATTAATAGGACACATGGAACTTGAGCTATATGAAAGTAAAAAATTCAATGGGTATTCTTTTTAACCGACTTCAAAAGGAGGAGGTTCTCAATTTGACTGTTTATTTTTTATGTTTGTCTTAGAACTTTCGACGGCGTGAACCGATTTCGATGATTCTTTTTTTATTTGAAAGCTGGTGCTTCCCATGTGGTTCCATATTAATTTCATTGGTATCGGATCTTTGGCTCCGGAGATACTTAGGCAACTCCCGAAAATGAATTGTAAAATGTATACAGAGCGAGATATTTGAAGTCGGTTTTGTTTTTCGTTACTAAAAAAAAAATGGTTATATTGCAGCTGATGTACCGCCTGCAGGCGCTAAACGCGATCGCGGACAACGTTTCGCCGCAACAGCTGAGCGACGGGCGCGCGAACCAAACCGCCGCGGCGAGGCCGAAGAAACAGGACGCGTTTATGCAGACGGACCCAGTGCAGTCGGAGGAGGACGACACGCAGCCGAACAACAGCTACAGCGAGTGCTCGGAGAAGTCGTTCGGCTCGGACCAGCTCGAGACGTACACCGTGCACGTGCACTACCAGAAGACCACGAAGGGCTACGCCGACGTAGAGGGCTTCGACGGCCAGCTGGACGCGTACGAGCTGCCCAAAGACTACACGAAGCCGAACGAGGACTACATGCCGCAGACGAACGAGGAGTACAACAAGGAAGCGGAGAAGTACGCCCTGGAGAGGAAGTCACTAAACGGCTACGAGAAACCGCTGGACGCGCTGTACCAAAAGCCGGTGTTGGAGGAGGGCTACCAGAAGCTACCGGAGATGTACGCGTACAGCGATAAGCCAGAGTACCCGAGCCGCAACGACAACTACATGGCGTACTCGAACGGGTACCCGGACAGCGCGGAGGTACTGAGGAATCAGCAGCACAACCTCCAGCTGCTACAAGAGCCGCACCGGATAACGGAGAACCAGAACTTCTTCAACGAGAGCCACATAAAGCAAGAAATAGACTTTGGCACTGAGGACGACAAGTTCCTGTATGAGCGCACTAAGGACCAAATAGGTAATGATTTGAACTGTTTACTTACAAGGTTTCTTCCATCGACATTTTTTGTTAATATGCAAAATCTACACAATGGCTTGCTCTGCAAAATGTTACTCCATTTTTGTAAAAAAAAAATGGGCTAAAACCTTTATAAAATAATTCAGAGCCGATTTTTTATGGGAATTAATAGATCCAAGATAATTAGATATTTGCTATCCACAAGAGAGGACTATTATTTCAATAATATATTTTGATTGCTAAATTGGTGATAAGTTTTGATACTATGCCATACTCCATCAAATACCCTAGTTCTAATTTTGAGACTGGTAGAACTTTGGACACATAGGAGGTAATAAATTATGCAGGATGGTTTTATTGACAGATCCAAATAATTTGTACAATGAGGATCAAAGGCGTTTGGAACAGCAAAGACTTCTGGAGCACTTACAACATCAGGTCAAACAGGAGCCGGATGCAAATAGCGGTATGTATGCACTACAATACATTTCGGTTTACATTTTAGTTTTTGTAAATTCCATATTATATGTTAAGATTTAAACAGTCTGACATTTCTGTTTTTTTCTGTTTCACATCAGTCATACAACTTACTTCTACCTGCTGTCTGAAAATCATTAAAAATGCTACACTTATAATTTTTGGGTGGGGGCATTTTCTATACGCCAAAAACCCAAGCTTGCAGTGAGCACCTGCACTTTTGACAACTTGTGAAACCGCCTGGTATAGCCGCCTAGTATTCACTTAACATCAAGTGAATGTTAAGTGAATACTGCCGCTCATGGAAATCTAAAACATCCGAGGGGTTGCAGATGCATTGAGAATCTATAAAAGAGTGAGGCCCAGTTAGTTCATTCTCCAGACGAAAGGCGAAAGTTTAATACTGACAATTTACGCCGGTTTATTCTGTGAGATCTTGATACTACGCGGATGCGCCTACCCATTTGTGCATCAGCAGTTGTTATGTTCATCTCACAAAGTATAATTAATTATATTCATAAATTTATAAAATGGAAATTTTTATCTCCTTAAAGTTTACTTACAGCCATAAGTATTCAATTATTAAAAGAATTTTATTATAAAGGTTATTAGATTTCAATAACATAATTCCAATAATGCATCTATTTCTTATGTATTATTCTTAAATGTTATTCTTCTCAGGATGTGAAAATGTTATGCAGCCACAAAGTAGTCCATATTATCAGACGAATGGGCACAATACAACAGGTGAGAAATATTGATAATAATACTATTCATTATTAGCAGTGACTGCACCGTCAATGCAAAACCTATATAGTAAGAGATAGTCATTTGATATACAGTGAGACTTTTTTAAAAGTGCCCAAATTGTCACAGGAGGTTCAGACTCGGTAGTATAATCGTTTGTTGAAATGAAAACGAACTTCCTAAAAAATTACCATTCTATTCCCTAAAAAACAGAACTTTTTGACAACGCGGTGGTCATTCATAATACCTAAATTTTACTGTTCAAGCACACAAACGAACTTGTGTGCGTGTTAGTTATGAATGATCACGCGTAAAATAAATGAGTTGCATATAAATCACGCACTTTTTGAGATAAGTTCAAATGAATGTAATTGATTACTTACGAGTGATTTAAAATATTTATCATTTTTTGTATAACATTATTTATGTCTAGAATTTAATTTTTAAAAAAATGGATACACTTAGAAAAGCCTCCCTGTATTTACGACTATAACCATTTAATACCACTGGTATTTCAAGCGTAATTAAAGCGAAATATACTTTGGAAACAGACATGCAGTGTCAGAATAAATTTATCATTCATATTGTGATTTTTGTTTGTGAGACATTTTGACACTTAATATACACAGATAAACCGGGGAAAGTTTGAATTTAACAAATAAAGTTATAACAAAATACCTCTATTTGATATATTTTCGAAGAGGATAATTTATTGGTTTTTCAATTTTCAGGTTCAGGGTACTATGAGCAGGTGTCAAGACCTGGTCCCGAGTTGCTTATAGCGAAGCAGAATGCGCTGGCAGCACACACGCAACTTTGTAAGTAGAATTAAATTAAACTAACAGCCTATACATGTAACACTGCTGGGCAAAGCCTCTTCTGTACAGATGGTAGAAGTTTAGTTCACCGAGCGATCGCACTCACATGCGACTCATGGATTTGCGAACTTCAGTATCTTCGAAATAATTTTTGTTAATATTTTGAAAATATCACGGTTTTCTCACGATGTTTTCCTAGACTGCCGTGCATGTGATGAGTCACCACTTAAAATTAACAATTTTATTGGTGGAGGCGCTGGAATGTTAACACAGATTGCTCGAGTAGATTGCATTTAATGCGAGCGTTCAGCAACTGAGCCATCACGACATAAAAATAACTTAAATAATTTTAATAACGTCTTAATCTATCTTCACGCAGGTTAACTTCATGGGATGTAAAAAAGTTTTAAGCATGCATAATCATTGGTTGATGGCATGGTTTATAGTAATGCCAAGTGTAATGCACATAGGCCTTTTACTTGGCTTAATAGACTAAAGAATTTTAAAACCTTAATTCCTGCTAGAAAGTATGAAAAATCCTTTAATGTACCAGGGTGATTCAATAACTTCATTCTAGTAAGTTTAAGGAAATAAAATATGAACAAAAATACTTTAAATATTGCTGATTTATCAGCCAGATAGGACAGTAATTAGAAACCACAATAAGCTAAGATTTGGCAGATGTGTGAACGCGAGCATTATCATTATAAACCAACACTGTCTTATACGAAATACGAAAACGTAGTTTCCGTCAAAGTAGTTTCTTCTTGTACTTGATGACTGTTGTACAAATTTCCCAATTATAGAATTAGTGTGATTAATCTCTTTCATCTTGTCTCAATTTATAAACTGAGAATGTTAGCGCATCAAAAGTTCGCACTGTGGCAACAAAAAAAAATTGAATGTAATGACTATAGTAAAATAAAAATATAATATTTATTTACTTGTGAGACTAGCTTTTCTGTTAAAGCTCTAAGATAATACTATGCATATGTTTTTAAATAAAAATTTCTATAGCCAAATCTAATGTAACATTGTTTAATGAGTTTGCTTTATGTTTCTGCAGGGCAAAACACCATGAAGAGACCTTTTTTTTACAGCGAAAGTTCTCCTTACACTGGACCACAAGTACTTCATAGATATGAGGTAGTAGAGATAATAAACACCTAACCGTACTCTCACCAGCTTACTCACAAACAGTGACAATTCAATAATAATGTGCTTTCAGGATATAACGAGAATTCTACAGTGAGATGAGAGACATTCCAAAGTTGCAAAATAATACTGTAAATGTATAAAAATAAATCGTAAATTTTTCTAAACGACGACAATCTCTCCGTGGTGAATGTTTTTATTGTATTTAATTTCCACAGTTTATCTAATGTGAATAAGGTCCCCTTTTGTTTCTAATATGGTAGAGTTAATTAAGGCGAAGTACAACAGTTTTCGAACATTTAAAAATATTTCATATACTTTTCGACCATGTTGAATGGGAAATATATGACTATTGTGAGAAACAAAAAAAACCAACAAAGAAGGGATTGGGTCTTGAGGGATTTTATTCATGTTAACAATGTATTTTTTGTCATGGCATAACCCTGCAAATAATACACAAAATGTATGTATTATAAAATTGTACAAATTTTGTATGAAAGCTCTATCCGCGCTTTTTAAGTAATTACATGGATGTGTGTTTGTTGATATAGGTACCTATCAAAATTGAAAAAGTCAATTTGATAATTTTTTGACATGTGCAATTGTGTCAAACAGTATGTGAATATGACCTGTGCAACATTTTACGTTTGATTTATAATATACTATATAATACATTGTATAATATGATTATTTTAAAGAATTCTTTATTAAATGTTGTCTTTACCTTTTTTTTTTTCTAAATCATTTATTATCTTTTATTGAAAATGTCATATAAGGGTCGTTTTGTCAAAAACATACATATTACAACAGAGACATCATGCTATTACCAGCCTCTTAATGCGGTGCCAAATTAATTTGTTATCTTTTATTTAGTGTTAATATTATGAAATGGTTGCACAGGTTATAAGAGAAGGATATTAATTGTTGCCATTTTTTAATCTAATGTTTCAGGTGATTTCTTAGGGATCTTTCTGGCTGGTTTACTTTTTACGTTTTTTTCGACTTATCGATAAAACAGTCAACACTGTTATAACGTATTTTTTTTATTTGTTTGTTTTATTTTTATTTTATTTTATTCATATATTTACACATTATAAAAGATAGTTACCATTAAGTAATTTCAATTGTATTTGCTTTTTTCTTTATATTTACAGATTTTATTTATATTGTGACACAGGAGAAATTGACTATAGAAATATTTTAATATGTTAATATGATTAATATATTTTTTTACATCTTTAAACACAAGTTGAGTCCACTTGTTCAATATTTATATCCGGCAAGGCTAAGAAAAGCACCCGTGTTCTAGAAATCTTCGATTTTATTTACATATACAAATTTTTATTACCTCGGGTTTCAATATTAACAATTTCTTCCGTTTGAAGTCTGTTGAGTTATTAGAGGTAAACGTAATAACGTTCCCTGGCGTTAATGTAACTATATTATTACGTAAGTTATTGTCGTCTAGTCGAGGTGTCCTCACCGAATTGTAACGTTTTTCCTCTTCGACTTTTTTTTTTATTGTTGCATAACGTAATATCTAAATGTTCTAAATTTCCGACTTAGTGTAAAATAAAATATTTGTGAATTTACGTTGTACTCATAAATGTTCTATTTTTATGCTGGCCGTACAAGATAAATTTGAACGTTAAAGAAAAAAATTCGCGGGCTGCTTTCCTAGCTGTGCCGATGACCGCTTTTTTGTATTTTATGCAAAACATAATACAAATTGATAGCGCTCGATTCATTTTTTTTTACGTATTTGAATTGCAATGCGTATTTTCGAACGCATTGTTGAACGTCAAAACAAAATGTCGGTGCAAACATAGAAAAATGGCGTGAACTAAATGGCGTCGTTAATCTTGCTGTAAAAAAATGTTACAAAAAAATTAGGGAAGTGATATTTTATCGAATTTACTTGGCAATTATAACATTGAAGAGTAAAGCTTAGCATTTAAGGGTCGGTTTTATTCAGTTTCGGTTTGTCACGATCCTGTTTTTCATAAATATTTATCCCTTTGTTAACTTAAAAAGTTGGTCTTGCCAAAGTTTTGACTATTCGGTTTGATGATATTGTAAATTTTTTTAAACTGCGTCAAAGTCTTAATGTGTTTTGGTAGATTAAAAATAGGTTCGTTCTTAAGGATGAAAAGACTTTGAAGTTAATATATTATCTTAATTTTTTTGGTGCTCGTTATGTTTTCTTCCGAATTCTTTTGCATTTTGTGTAATTATTTTTTGAAAGATAATGTGTATATGATATTTGAGTACAATGTTTTAAAGATCGTAGTACGCACATATTGTAGATGGATCGCTAGAGGTTTTTTTTAAAGATTTTTTTTATAGATTACGAACATTTTATTTACCATAGAGAGTAAGGTAATAATAAGAATGTGGGTTGGTAGACGATTGAATAATGCGAGAGCGTGCACAAGTACGGTTTTTTTTTCTAACGTAATGTACTAAAACTTTCCGAACATTTTTGTTATGGTTACTCAAACTCACCGTACAGTCTTAATTTAGCGAATTGTGAAAATTGTAATTAGAAGAAAAGTGATCATAGAGATATTTAAAATACGAGAGTAATAAAAGAAAAATGTTTATATTTTATAATTTGTACGCTCTAAACAGACCAAAGCTGTGAGTTAAATGTAAAGATTGTTGAATAAGAAAACAATAAATTGCTTCTGCACACATTGAATTCACTCTAATTCACAGATAAAATTCTATTTCAACTCCGAGTAATCCTTACATTTTGTATTTTCGAGTATTAACCAGTGCGTTCAGGGTTAAATGATGTGGACACTAAATACAGACAATTTTGTGTTATATGTTTATTCTGAGAGACTTGCATAATTTGTCGTTACATATAGAGATTAATTGAATGTGTGCATTGGATCGATTAACGCGGTTTTTGTATGAAATTTTTGAACTTGCCACAAATAGTGCGTGTTTGGCATCGTTCGAATGGAGATGTATTATTTGTAGAAAAATCCATATGTAACCGTATGGGTATCCATTCGCACGGTAGATTAGCAGAAGTCTGTTGTCGGGTAAACTAATTTAGCATTAGTAGCATCTTAATTTGCACAGTTTCGATATCTTTGTGGGGTAAATAAAAACGTTAATATAAATATAACGTTAATATAAATATAACGTTAATATATATGTGAGCCGCGTTTATCTCGCTCACCAGACGGAACGCGAAAGTACAATAATTTCAATTCATGCTCGTCTTGTGGTGTTGAGAGGCAGCCACGTTCTGGCCATCGCAGTGTTGGACGACCACACCCACTAGATGGAGTGTCGACCTGTGCAAGTGTGCGGGCAGTCGATGGATGCAGGTGGCTCAGGTTCGTGCTTCGTGGCAGTCTGTGGGGGAGGCCTATGTTCAGCAGTGGACTCAGGCTGAAATGATGATGATGACGATGCTCGTCTTGTGAGGTCGTGTTAGGCAGGCTAGTTCCCCGGACGTGCGTGCCCATTCGTGCAACAGAAGAAGCTGCTGTGTTGGCCGGGCCTACCACAGATAGGTTCAGTAGTTGCTATCTATACATGCTGAAATCAACCCGATATTTTTTTGGGCAGCTTACATATGTATAGGACTAAAATAGGTTATAGCACCGAAAATTATGAATCCAAATCGAACACAGTAAAATCAGTAATTTATTTTGTTTTGATATTATTTGAAATCATGCTAATTGTTGTCTGTTTTGCTGTTCCTTTATCTGTATAGCTAGGAGTTCCGATTATTTTATTTTGTAAATAATTCTATTGCGGGTACTTAATAAGAAATGTAAACAACGATACTATTTTACAATAGTATAGTGGTTATAGCACTAACTTATTAACCCAGCGGTGAAGGAAACTTCGTGCGGAAACCGGCATACTTTCGGAATAATGACCAAAAAATATATCGAAGATTAGTCAAGTCAACCAATCCGCAGTGGGGTCGCGTGGACCACGCTCTAATACCCTATACACAGAGGAGGCCTTTGACCAGCAGTGGGACTTGTATAGGCTGTTACTTTAATTTTATAGTGTTAATGTTTTCGTCGGCGTATAATCATTTTACTATCATAGTCAAAAGGAGTTTGATTTTCGTTCGTCGGCTTTTCTAGTTATCTGCCAACATTCGAACGTGACACAAAAGTACAATTTGTAATAAGTTTTTAATAGAATATTGTTAGATATTGTTCACAGATCGACAATAAGGTTGACAGGAAAATTTTGAATTTGCCAAACCCACTCGAGACTGTCCATAAATTTCATATAAAGAACGCGCCTTAGTTTGTAAGGAGAATGGAGATGTTAATTGCTAGATACAACATTTTTGTTTATATATTTTTTACAGCTGTGGCCATTTTCAAATAAAAATATGTGGAAAATCGGATGGTTGTTTGATTTCAGCTTGATCTATCCGTGACAGGACCGATTATTAGATTTAGATCACAGCGCAGTTCAGCTCTACCGGTGATCCGGGCATGTGTGGACTTTGCTTACTTGATATCAAGGGAGTTTTTATTTATTTAAAATGTATTGCTTACACCTCAACTTAAGGCTAAACAAAAGGCAAACTTAATGCTAATAAGTATTCTCTTCCAGTCAACCCTGGGAGTAGAGAAAGTTTGACGCAGGTGCAAAACAGAATACGCGAAATAAATTAATGAAAAATGAATAAAAGAAAACAAAAAAAGCAAAGGTATATTCTATAGAAATTTACTTTACTCAAACATAAATACTTTACACATAATCATTAAATACATATAAATTTCAATACATAAACAATAGAAAATAAATAAAAAATATAAATAAATAATATATATATATATATATATATATATATGTAATACATGTATAATAATATATATACAGAGACATAAAATCGAATGATAAAGTTAGTGACTAACAATCGGCAAAATTGGCATAGCGACATCGCAGCATTTTCTTAAGGTTCAACATTTCGATGTACCTTGCGTTCATTCTTTTTTGAAATGTCGGACCTACAAGTTGCGTGTGCTGCGTTCATCTTGATGAATTATATTAGAAGAAAAAAGAAAAATAGGAATAGAAGATGGTGGCAAATGAACATTT